CCATGTGCATTGGAAAAGAGTGTGTACTTTACAGCGGTTGGATGGAGTGTTCTATATATGTCTCTGAGGTAAAGTTGGCTGATTGTGCCCTTTCGGTCTTCTGTATCTTTGTTGAGTTTCTTCTTAGTTGGGAACAGCATTTTTGTAGAAGGAGTAAATTCTAGGGCAAAAACTACAGACTACTGCTGAAATAAGCTTGGTTTGAAAAAAAGGAAATAAAGTTCCATGAAGTGTGATCAAAGTCAAGAGTAATTTATTCATCTTCTAATCTCCATTTCTTGTTCTTAGGCCTTCTAGCAGTTTCTTTGTTTCTTTTGAAAAAGCGAGAGATGGTACAAATTCCTGTGGGAATCATCATCATATCTGGCTGGGGGTAAGTTGGTAGTTTTCTGTTTGTTTGCATGTTTCCATGTACACAGTTCCTATTCATCCCTTCTCTTTCTTGTTCCCCTAACCTTTGTTATTACAGAATTCCTGCCTTCCTTGTTGGTGTTCTTTTGATAACTGGAAAGCACAATGGAGATAGCATTGACTCAGCGTTCTTTTATGGGAAAGAGCAGGTGGGAAGAGTTTATTGACGGTTCTGTTCTTGAAAATGTCTCTTTTTAGCTTGTTCATGTACCTTGCTATACTTACATTAAAATTAACTTCGAAATCTATTCCAACTTTTTGTATATCACACTCATGACCCTATATCAGTTTGTTAAGACATACCTCAAAATGTGGTGAGGATTTTGCATGTCTGTTTTTAGCTGAGGATTGCCATATACTTGACACTTATTGAGTCTTTTTAAACACACTTACGAATTACAGTTCCTCTACTGGAGCCCTGGTGGTGCAGTGATTAAGATCTCGGCTGCTAACCAAAAGGTCGGCTGTTCGAATCTACCAGCCGCCCCTTGGAAACCCTATGGGGCAGTTCTAGTCTGCCCTATAGGGTCTATGAGTTGGAATCGACTTGATGAGAACAGATTTGGTTTTGGTTCTACTGGAGGAAAGAATGATGAATTTAAAGTCATTTAGTAAGTTAGGGGTAGCAGTTCTTGACTCTTAGTCTTATCATAAACATAAATTTCAGAATAAAAAGTATCTGGGAAAAAGTATGCTTGAAAAACCATGCATTTGGAAGCCTACAGGAAAGCTTGTGGGACCTTCTGAATCAGAATTCTTCAGAGGTAGGGGCCAAGGATGTGTGTCTTTTAAAAAACTTCCTCAAATGATTTTGATTTCTTATTATTGCCTTTTTTTTAAGAGCCACTCTTCTAGAATATCTAAAGCTGTGGAAATGTATTTTCCACCAAAATAGTGCTCTTAACCTAATATGTTAAGATTATCAAGATGTGATTGTGAAAAGTAGCCTAATGTCTTTTTCCAATGTTGGCAGATGATCACCACAGCAGTCACCTTGTTCTGTAGCATTCTGATAGCCAGCATATCGCTCATGTGCATGAACCGAACCACCCAAGCCAGACTCTATGAAGGCTTTGACCAATCTCAGAACCATAAAGCAGCAGAGCCTGGAAACACTGCTTCTGAGGAGAGTCCAGTGCCAATAAGTGAACCAGAACTTTTTACCAGTTCTATCGCAGAAAGAAGTATGAACTTTAAATATAAAGACACTGTTACATGCCTTTACATGTCCTAAATGTTTTGTTTCAGGGAGCTTCTTTGAACTATCTTGAATATCACAGTACTTGTCAATGAAGAACTTGAATCATAGTCAATAATAGAAAAACCTAGATTCTAGGTTACAAGTCTTTTGTGAAGGTAATCTGCAGGGTCTCCCCCATTTTTTCCTAATCTCCCCATTCCCCACTCCCCACTTTAGCCTCCAATCTCTCTGCTAAACTCTTGTAATATGTTCCTAACTGGGCTGCCTGTCTCCCATCACTCCCAGGTCCAATCTGTTTTATGTGCAGTGACTAGATTTATCTTTCTAACAGAGAAACATGTCAAACTCCTGCTCCAAAATCTGTGAATGCCTTGTGGTGTCCATAAGTCCAGACCCCTTCACATAGCACTCAAGTCCTTCCACAGCCTGGACATACCTGCCCCTATGGTGTTCTTCCCGCTTCCCTTCAGATCTCCTCTGCTCTCCCAAGTTAAATCCTCCATTGTTTGCTCCAGCAGGCTCTCTTGTTGCCACACCTCTCTTTATACCTTTAACTCCTGGCCTTTAAAATCAGAGCCCACTGGTTTCTTGGTTAGATCACTTGTGACTACATCATCAGAATTTTGAGTTCTCTTGATCATTTTCCCTTTTAAAGCTGGTATTCGAGAGTTATTATGTATTCACTAAAAGTTTTAAAAACTGCTTTCCCTAAGTCTAGAGTACTTTTCTGATCTTGCCTAGAATTCTTTCCTTCCTCACTTACTTTCTGGACTCTTCCATTTTTTTCTGTAAACCAGTCTACTGTTTTCAGGCAGGGCTTGAAGACCACCACCTCCAGCTGGCTCCGTCTTCTTCCTCCAACTAGCCTTTTAGAACCTGCTACCTGAGAACATGTGTGAGGAACCCTACACCAAGGGTTTTAAGCCCAGAGACTTCTGCTGCTACCTCTTTTAAACATAGCAAACTGTAACATAGACTTTCTTTAAATCTTCACATTATCATCTCCAGTGGGAAAACTGACTTGTATGTATAGTATAAATACCCCTATCACTTATCTCCAGAGGAAATCTTATACAATGTTTATACTTCCCTGTCCTCTTATCTCACTGTTTTATAATTGCTTTTTAAATGATCTGTACTGCCACTAGACTATAAGTGCTATGTCTGACTTGCCCCAGCAAGTATCAGGCTCACTATACACGTTCCATAATATTTGTTGAATGCGTGAATAGATCTATGGGGGATAAGGTACACCATGATTCTCTGAAGCTATCCTGAAAACTGCTATGGCAAAAAGTACTTGTTTGTCTGTTCACTCATGTTCCTGGGAAAAGGTTTCAAACCTGTCGGGTTATTCTTCCTCCCTGAATCCTGCTCTCTTTTGCTTTGCTAGTCGTACTAACACATACTAGCATGGATGTCCAGCCTGACCTTCCCAAACTTCGGTAATCCAAAATAGTTCACTCACCTCTGCCCCTTGCTGCACAATTGTCAGAGACCCATAATTTGTGCATGTTATACGTGTGTAATTATCAGCGAAAGGAAAAGTAACCTTTGTAATATGAGACCAAAGTTTCAGCTAATAAAAGAGAAGACTAATGAGCCATTTACGTACCCTTTTTATGTTTGAAGAAAGAAACTGCTGTAGCACTTTTCATAGTGGCTACAATCATGTGTGTGTTCCTTATATATGTCATTGGAATGGGCTGACCCAAGATCTGTTTTCTTAACAATTTTATCTTAGCTGATTTAAGCCTTTAAGTCTCTGAAGATAGAAGGCTGGGCCAGATGATGTCTTTATTTTCCTTTCTATTATTCTGTGGTTCTGTTTTAACTTTGAGACACTATCATTATCTTAAATTTAGAAAGACATTTGTGGTAGCTTATTATATAGTTTTTACACTTTGAAATCTTTTTGTTTTTAAAAACATTACTGGAGAATTTAAGTACATTATCAATGAAAGGTTCAGCCTAGAAATTATTCATTTTTCTAGCATATTAAATTTTAATACAGTTTATCACTGAAGTTATTATTCTATTATAATCCATGTTATATATTGTACAAAAGGTTTTAAAAGACACTGCATGCAGTTCTCTATTATATAGAGGAAAAATTACAGCTTGATAGCAGATGTCTCAGTGTGACTTCTGAAAACCAGTCTACCTGTAACCAGCAAGGGATTTTCAGAAATATATATCTGAAAAGAGAAAGTGCATAATTGTTTCTACTGCATCTGATAGACTAGCAGGAGACATATTCTTGAAAGAACTGAGTTTGGAGTGAGGCTTGCAGGAGAGGATTTGGATGAATTGACAAGAGTGGGAATTTCAGGCATATGAAACACCACATCAAGCCTAGGCCTGGAGACACAAGTAAGCATGCGGTTTGTGGAGGACACAAAAGGATTATCCTAATATTGTATGATCCCACTTATAGGAAATATCTACATAGAGACAGAAAGTAGACCAGTGGTTACTGTGGGCTGGAGGGCGGGGGCATTGTCAGTGCTTCTTGGGTACAGAGTTTCTGTTAGGAGTGATGAAAATGTTTTGGGAACAAATAGTGATGATGGTTGTACAATATTGTGAATATAATTAATGCCACCGAATTGTACACTTAAAAATGGTTAAAATAGCAAATGTTATGTTATGTATATTTTACTGCAATAAAATAAACAACAACAACAGCAAAATAATTCTCTTGAAAGAAGGGAAGAACTTTTTGTTGAAGAGGGGCGATGGTTCAGTAGAGAGAGGAAAGCCAAGTGATAGAGAGCTTTCACACTCAGGCCAAGGAGTAAGTAGTAAGCAGTGGGGTGTGGTTTTGAGGAGTGATGAAATAACAGTTGTATTTTGGGAAAATGTTTGGATTCTTACTTCCCAAAGCATAGCGGGAACTAACAAAACAGCACTGATAAAAACATTTTTCCTTGTCTCAATCAGTGAGGAGACATGATATAAAAAAGCTGATCCCTCGTCTGGCATTCTTTAAATGTTAGCTCTGTATTACCACATTTGAATACTTTCTGATAGACATCATGTAAAAACATTTCCACTGAGAATACATGAGAAGTTTGCGTGTGTTTGTGTGAGCGGGTTTTTTTTTTGTTTTGTTGTGTTGTGTTTGGCATCTCTTGAACTTGTTCACTTCCGCTGGTGGTTGGGCTCTACCCTCACATATTATTTTACCTATACAGGGTACTGTTCCTGCTCCATGGGAAATGGTGAATTGCACTGCCCATCAGCAGAGCCAGTAGCAGATACAAGCACGAGTAGGGCCGTGACTCCTTCATTTGAGAAAAGTAAGTACTGCAGGGCTACAAGGATGGGCTTAAGGAATAGAAGATTCCTTATCCTCTTGCCTCAAAATAACCCTGCATAGAATCTCTACAGAAGTTATACTTTTTGAGAATATGGCTTCTCAAATAAGACAGGGATAGTGCTAATAGGATAATAATCTTCCACAGATAAAATACTCATTTAAAAAAAAATAAAGTTCTTCTAACACAGTAGTAATAGGTAGTGTTTTTACACACACATATAATTTCCAGTAAATTTAACCCAAGTGATAAATCCAAAAAATTTTCCCTAGAGGCCTTTTTTCCTTGTTTTAGAAGCTGAGAATTTTCCTCTACCCCAGGGTCAGGATTAATGACTGCTTAAATATGTCCTTTCTTACAAGAAAAAAACATCTGAAAGTAATAACCTTTTGGCATATAGACCAAGAGACTAATCATACCTGTGGTCTGAATTTCAAATTGTTTAAAACATCTAAGCACACTTACATGGAATTGCAATGCACTTTCAGTTGACTATGCTTATTTATATATAAACTGGGAAAGGAAACTCCAAAAAGTGCTCTTTGTGAATGAGGCCTACCTGAACTGTATTGTTGCCAAACACATTATGTTCTTATGTAAGAAATATTGTGAGAATTATAAGAAATGATGTATGCAAATCACTTAGCACAGTGTGTGGTGTACATGGTAAACATTCACTAAATATGGAAAATAATAGTAGTTGTTATTACACAAGTGGAGTTTTTATTTGGCTGCTCTCTGCTGCTAGGATACATGGTAAATAATAGTAGAATTCACATTTCTATAGAAAGAAGTAAACATATATCAGATATTGGGCTTTTCACTGACGTTTTCTAATAGGAAACCCCTTTGGGCATTCAGTTACACATTTGCTCAGTTGTAATTCAAGTGTGCCCCTTTTCTAAAGCTAATGTTTCTTCACATCAGAATTTCCATGGCTTTTCTCCTTATTTTTTCTCCCTACACGATATACCTAATAGATAAATCGATTAAGATATTCAACATGTAATCAGATTCAGCAGCACTTTTTTTGCCCCCCAAAATCTCCTTTAGACTTTATTGGTCATTTTCTTTATTAATAATATTGATTCCTGAAAACTCTTTTAAATTTTGGGGGCAGCTTAGATTTTCTGATCATATTTATTATAGATGAAAGTTGGATTATTAATTTGGCCTTTGTGTGTGTGTGTGTGTGTATAAAACATTGTTCACTAGTATAGAAGGAAACTATTATCTACTACTTGTGTTTTTTCAGATAAAAAGCCTGTACAACTAGAACTCTCCTAAAACAACATGAAGGAGCCTTCCTCAGATTTCATCTAAAATAATGTACTGATTCATAGCTGAGTGTGCATTTGTGGTAGTTTGCTTAGGAAGTCATTATGAATTTAAAATGCACTTAAATAAAAAGCTCTGATTACAAATTGTTGTACTTACTGTTTTATAGATGATCATTGTGTGAGTCGTTGCAACTCCCCGAGCTGCATATTAGCCCAGGAAGAAGAACAGTATCTACAGAGTGGAGACCAGCAACTGACTCGACATGTGTTGCTGTGTTTACTTCTCATTATTGGCCTGTTTGCTGTAAATGTTTCTTCTGATTTTGTTTTGGGTCCAAGTCTTTAAATGTTTGGCAAAGGTTTTATTCAGACATCTGGGAGAAACTTAGTTGCTACTTTCCAGGAGGGTGGCAGCTAGGCCATCTGAATCCTAATCTTGAGCTAAATGTTTTAGGGGAAAAGGAAAATGAATAATTCACAATACTATTGCCTAAGTATTCTAGTAGTTTATTCTGCTTACCAAAACCCAAACCAAACCTGTTGCCACTGAGTCGATTCCGATTCATAGCAACCCTCTAGGACAGAGTAGAACTGCCCCAAGGTTTCCAAGGAGCGGCTGGTGGATTCAAACTGCTGACCTTTTGGTTAGCAGCCGAGCTCTTAACCATTATGCAACCAGGACTCCATACAGAAATGTTTATTCCTTCTATGCTCTGAGCCTAGAATTTTTTTTTATAGAAATGTTAATTAAATTTGAATGAAAAGATAGATCACAGGAAAGGAATTCAGAAGTCAATAAATTCAAAGAGAAATGATTAGAAATAGTAGATTTGGTGGCTGTACACAAATATAATCTTACCTTTTGGCTTTTGAAGTGTTTCCTAAAATTTCTTAAAGTTCTCATACTGGGTCCTGAGAAACAACTTGAGATAATTCTTAAAAATATAAGTTCCAGGACCCAACCCCAGATCTACTGAATTAGAATCCTAGGGTGGGGGGTTGGGGGGGCCCCAGGTGAATCTTACATTCAAGCAAATTTGGGAAACACTGGATTAAAGAATACTTATTCATATGAGTAATACACAGTGCACACCAAAAAAAAAAAACAAACCCTTTGCCACTGAGTCAATTCCGACTCATAGCCGCCCTATAGGCAGAGTAGAACTGCCCCATAGGGTTTCCAAGGAGCGTCTGGTGGATTTGAACTGCCGAGCTTTTGGTTAGCAGCTATAGCTCTTAACCACTATGCCACCAGGGTTTCCACACAATGCACAGAGATGATAAATATTAGCAAGTAAGAAGACTATGAAATTCTTTTTTTTTTTTAGTTTCTCATTCAAAAATTTATACACAAATTGTTTTGTGACATTGGTTTTAGTCTCTGCAATGTGTCAGCACTCTCCCCCTTTCCACTGAGCCTAGAGTTTGGTATCAGTACGCCTTGACTGACCTCAGTGGATAAATGCCTATGTGATCTATCAAAAGATATTCCTCTGATAAACTTTAAAGAATAATTTTAATTATTAAAAAAAAAAAGTCATAGAATAGTTACAAGATAGAGAAAAAGGGAAAAGCAATCCATTGTACCTTCTAATTTTTTAATGCTTTTTTCATGGTTATAATCATACATACAAATTTGTATCCTGCTTTTGTAGCCCTGGTGGCACAGTGGTTAAGAGCACAGCTGCTAACCAAGAGGTCGATAATTGCAGACTACCAGCTGCTCCTTGGAAACCCTATGGGGTGGTTCTCCTCTGTCCTATAGAGTCTCTGTGAGTCAGAATCGACTCGACAGCAATGGGTTTGGTTTGTTTTTGTTTTTGTTTTTTGTCCCTTGTATCATGCATTTTCATGTTGCTACATAATGTTCATAACTATTACTTTAAATGGCTCCCCAATAAACCATACAGTAGACACAATATAATTTATGCAACCACTTCCTTATCGATGTCCAGTTTTTAAAAATATTCTCCCTAACATCTTCATGCATTATATTTTCTTATAATAGATTCCCAAAGTTGGGAAACCTGAATCAAAAAGTATAAATATTTCTGTGACTTTGGATGTATTCTACTAAATTGTTTTCCAGAGGGGTAGTACAAATTTATAAAGTACTGTCACCAGCATTGAATTATAAGCTATAAATTGTTTTTTAATTTGATTATTTTATAAGTGAACTATAGCACTTTATTTTTTAAATGCATTTCTTTGATTAATGAAGTTTTTATTAGCTGTACGCCCTCTTTTATGAATTATCAGTTATTATTATATAGTTCTTTGAGATAGTTCAAATGTAACTTGCCTAGAGGTAAAGCGATGGACCGCATGACCCTTGAAGGAACGCTTTTTGTACTGGGATGCTTGTGACATACCGTGATATCAGCCAGCACCATTTTTAACTGCTGTTTAAGAACAAAAATCAAAAAGTAAGAAATGCTGCCAAGAATGGCTGCTGAGTGATGTGATTGTTTTCATTGTGTAGAACTAATTTTAAAATCAGTCCTGTCTTCAGCTAGTCAGCAGTCCTGATATATTATGTAAGCTTCTGTATTATGGCTCATGTCTTCTTGCTTCAAATCTGATCAGAATAGGCGCTGTTTGAATGACATCTGTCAGGAGGAGAGGTTGAAACTTCTTGTTCGAAAGACAAAGCCAACATATTCTCTCTGTATTTTTTCCTTAAGTAGTAAGTTATTGTACTGTGCTCTGGTTGGAGAGAAATGATTGGCTTGCTTCATTTTAAAGTACTATTTTCTCCTTCCTTTACAGAATCTTTCCAGTTGTTTATGGTGGCTATTCAACCAAGAGCCTGGAAGACTGTATGTTGAGTTACAGTTTTTCTGTGCGGTGTTTAACTTTGGCCAGGTATTTATTTACTGAGAACTTTGAGGAGTTTTTGTTTTCCTGGATGGATTTTTTTTTTTGGCAGTGGGGGAGGTATTGTGATTGTTGTTTTCTTTTAAATCAGAAGGGTTGAGTTTGTTCGCCAGCTGCTGGTATGCATGACAGCTGACAGCTGCTGCCTGTCTCCTCACAGGAGATGAATTATCATATTGGTTAAAATCATCAGAACGTACACAAAATGTTTCAGTCATAACTACCGAATAGTTCTTTGCTTTGGTTTTAAGCTAAAAAATGATAATTTAAGTAGGGACAGGATGTCCTAAGTTCCTTTCAAATTTTGTTGTGGTTTTAATAAGCCACTTTGGGAAAATGACTTACCTTCCCTGGGCCTTTAGTTTAGCCACTTGAATTGAGGAACATCATTTCATTTGCATTTTGATGTTTCTTGAACAATAAGATACTTAAATATATTTTTTTAATCATATGGTGGTATATAAATAAATTTTAGCCAGGTGTAGTAGCTACCATTCCTTAAGAGTCCACTATGTGCCGAGCATTGTTAAGCATTTTACACTTATTCTCTTATTTAAACATCACAACAGTACCTGCAAAGTAGATATTATCATCCCCAGTTTATAAAATAGGAAACCAAGATTCCATGAAGAAGTAATATGCTCGGTGCTGCTGTCTGTGTTTATGTCACTATTTATGTCTGTGTTTATTGTCACTATATTTAAGGATAAATGACATTAGGAAAATTCTTTTATATGTGCAGATTTCAAAATTTGACCTATCTTCAACCCCTTTTAAATTAAAGAGTAAGTTCCCAGATTGAGTATCAGGTTGAAAAAGCATTATTTAAAATCACTGGTTTTGCCTGTTAAATCTGAAATAATTTTATCAAATGAGTTAGTTAACACTTGTCCATAGATGTTAGAGCCTAACATTAATTTCTTGAAATACTTCCTGTTTGTTTTGCCATTCTTACGGGAGCAAACATGGCTATGTCTAGACAGACGAGTGACCTCCGTCAGTTTAGTATATATATATATAGACATGAGCATCCCAAGGGCTAGTTGATGACCACCTCATGCTGTGATACTGTTTAAGAACTCATTTTGTGCCCAAGAAATATAAAATACTAGGTTGAAAAACCATAATCTCACTCAGCATTTTGCATTCAGAAAACTCACCTCAAGTTGAGTCATCCAAGGACTGGGGCTGAGAAAGCTTCATTCCACAGGGCTGGGTCAGGAATAGAAGTTAATGCCAGGGATATGGCATTTGAAACGCTGCCCACACAGCTTATGACTCAAATGGTTCAAAGAAGCGAGAGCGACACAAAGCCCCTCTCCTATCCCATTCTCCTCTTGGGGATGTGATGTGGCAAGATCATTACCTTCTTGCTGTTTATCCTTTAGAGGTGAACAAAGTTAGCCCTTCATGTAATATTTTGCATTGTCCATCGCACCTACCCCAGCCTGCACCAATATCCTTATCCCAGCATGCCTGCCAGATGGCAGCTTCCAACTTCCTGTCTCCCCAAGACCAACCAGCCCTAGTCTTCCTAATCTGTGGCTGGTATCTGGTGCCAGTTTGCCTTGTCACCCCCAAATCCTTTAAACCCTTTCCCTGAACACTAGCCAGTTTCAAGTCACATAAAGTCTGCTCAGTTACTGCATTATAGACAGATACTGCAGCACTTGTTAATTGTGTAATTTCTGAAGTTTTAACAAAAAAGATTATAAACACTTAAGCACAGTTGGAGGAATGTCATTTCTTTTAAAAAAGGAGAAGCAAAACATATAGCCCTTAAAGGTTTTCATTTTCCTCCAGTAAGCTGTCACACAAACCAGGCTACCAAGCACTCGTGTGCAGTATCTGTTATAACTGGTAGGCCAGAATGACTTGAGAAGAGGCCACAAAGTACCTACCTGCCCTGAGGCACTGAACTCTAGAGGGCCTGCCTTGCTTATTCTGTTCGAAATATTGCCGTAATCACGACAGGTTTGCTTCCTCCTGCACTAACTTTGGTGGCTTCCTTAATTTCTCTCTGTCTTAAAATTTTATTCATGAATTCAGAAAATATAACTTTGTCTTCTTCCCTAGGGATTTATTTCCTTTGGAATCTTTGGATTGGACAAACATTTAATCATCCTACCTTTCAAAAGAAGGTAAATTTAGTTTTGAAATAATGTCAGTAAAAGTAATGACAAAGCTATCCTATTAAGAAACTGATATTTTTAAACCTTGAGTAACTGCTAGGAGATCACTAACCACCACAGAAAAGTCATCTGTTGATTTACATATTTGTTGTAAGTAATTGCAGAGAAAGTATTAGAAGAATTACTATAAATCCAGCATTGTAATTTGCATTTTAACAAGAATCGATGGATGCTGACTTCTATCTATACCATTAACTACATAAAGTAAAATGAAACTTGAAAATGTATTTAGAAATGGATGGAGTAGGTAGTGTGTCCCCAAGGGTCTATATTTGGTTGTGTTTCTCCTTTGATAACAGGGTTTCTATCAAACTGACAACTTACAAGTTTTCTTCTTTCTAAATTTTTGGTTTCATGTTGGCTTGGTGGGGGGTGTCTTTGAATTCAGAACAGGGGTTTCTTTATGAAAAATAATGGAAGTTGGAATACTACAACTTGGGTATGGGAGGAAGGGGCAAGAAGTACAAATCTTTGCACTTCTTCATTTGTTTACAAAGTCAAAATGAGTAGAAACTAGAAGTGCTAATGGAAATCAACCTATCAGCTACATGGAAAGCACTTAATAGTTTATACATAATACCCCACTCATCTGTCAGTTTGTAATGCTGTGGTGGCTTGCATGTTGCTCTGATGCCAATGGTATTTCAAATACCAGCAAGGTCACCCATGGTGGACACGTTTCAGCTGAGCTTCCAGACTAAGACAGACTAGGAAGAAGGACCTGGCAATCTACTTCTGAAAAAATTGGCCAGTGAAAACCTTATGAATAGCAGCGGAACATTGTCTGCTATAATGCTGGAAGATGAGCCCCTTAGGTTGGAAGGCACTCAAAATATGACTGGGGAAGAGCTGCCTCCTCAAAGTAGAGTCGAATTTAATGACATGATGGAGTAAAGCATTCAGGACCTTCATTTGCTGAGGTGGCACAACTCAAAATGAGAAGAAACAGCTGCAAACATCCATTAATAATCTGAACGTGAAGTGAACAAAGTATGAATCTAGGAAAATTGGAAGTCATCAGAAATGAAATGGAACACATAAATACTGTTATCCTAGGCATTAGTGAACTGAAATGGACTGGTATGGCCATTTTGAATCAGACAGTCATATGGTCTACTATGTCTGGAATGACAGATTGAAGAAGAATACCATCGTATTCATCGTCAAAAAGAACATTTCAAGATCTATCCTGATGTACAACACTGTCAGTGATAGGATAATATCCATATGCCTACAAGGAAGACAAGTTAATATGACTATTATTCAGATTTGCAAACTAATGCCAAAGATGAAGAAGTTGAAGATTTTTACCAACTTCTGCAGTCTGAAATTGATCAAACATACAATCAAGATGCATTGATAATTACTGGTGATTGGAATGCAAAAGTTGGAAACGAAGAAGAAGGATCAGTAGTTGGAAAATATAGCCTTGGTGATAGAAACAATGCCATAGATCGCATGATAGAATTTTGCAAGACCAACGACGTCTTCACTGCAAATACCTTTTTTCAACTACATGAACGGCGACTATACACATGGACCTCCCCAGAAGGAGAACACAGGAATCAAACTGACTACATCTGTGGAAAGAGACAATGTAGAAGCTCAATATTATCAGGTAGAACAAGGGCAGGGGCAGACTGTGAAACAGACCATCAATTGCTCACATGGAAGTTCAAGTTGAAGCTGAAGAAAATTAGAGCAAGTCCACAAGAGCCAAAATACGACCTTAAGTACATCCCACCTGAATTTAGAGACCATCTGAAGAATAGATTTGATGCACTGAACACTAATGACAGAAGACCAGACAAGTTTGGAATGACATGAAGGACATCATACATGAAGAAAGCAAAAGGTCATTAAAAAGACAGGAAAGAAAGAAAAGACAAAAATGGATGTCAGAAGAGACTCTGAAACATGTTCTCGAACGTAGAGTAGTTAAAGCAAACAGAAGAAATAATGAAGTAAAAGAGCTGAACAGAAGTTTTCAAAGGGTAGCTGGAAAAGACAAAGTAAAGTATTTTAATGAAATGTGCGGAGACCTGGAGTTAGAAAACCAAAAGGGAAGAACATGCTCAGCATTTCTCAAGCAAAAGAACTGAACAAGAAATTCAAGCTTCGAGTTGCAATATTGAAGGATTCTACAGGGAAAATATTAAACGACGCAGGAAGCATCAAAAGAAGATGGAAAGAATACACGGAGTCACTGTCCCAAAAAGAATTGGTCGACGTTCAGCCATTTCAGGAGGTAGCATATGATAAGAACTGATGGTACTGAAGGAAGAAGTCCAAGCTGCACTGAAGGGAAATGGTGAAAAACAAGGCTCCAGTAATTGACGGAATACCAATCGAGATGTTTCAACAAGTGGATGCAGTGCTGAAGGTACTCACTGACCTATGTCAAGAAATTTGGAAGACAGCTTCCGGGCAAACTGACTGGAAGAGAACCATATATGTGCCCATTCCAGAGAAAGGTGATCCAACAGAACATGCAAATTATCAAACAATATCATTAATATCACATGCAAGCAAAATTTTGTTGAAGATCATTCAAAAGTGGTTGCAGCAGTACATCGACAGGGAACTGCCAGAAATTCAAGCCAGATTCAGAAGAGGTTGTGGAACAAGGGATATCATTGCTGATGCCAGATGGATCTTGGCTGAAAGCAGAGAATACCAGAAAGATGTTTATCTGTATTTATTGACTATGCACTGGCATTCGACTGTATAGATCATAACAAATTATGGATAATGTTGTGAAGAATGGGAATTCCAGAACACTTGATTGTGCTCATTAGAAACCTGTACATAGACCAAGAGGCAATCATTAGAACAGAACAAGGGATACTGCATGGTTTAAAGTCAGGAAAGGTGTGCATCAGGGTTGTATCCTTTCACCATACTTATTCAATTGGTATTCTGAGCAAATAATCCAAGAAGCTGGAAAATATGAAGAACGTGGCATCAGGATTGGAGGAAGACTCATTAACAACCTGCAATATGCAAATGACACAACCTTACTCGCTGAAAGTGAAGAGGACTTGAAGCACTTACTGACTGAAGATCAAAGACTACAGCCTTCGGTATGGATTACACAACATAAAGCAAAAATCCTCACAACTGGACCAATAAGCAACATCATGATTAATGGAGAAAAGACCGAAGTTGTCAAGGACTTCATTTTACTTGGACTCACAATCAATGCCCGTGGAAGCAGCAGTCAGGAAATCAAACGATGTTTTCCATTGGGCAGATCTGCTGCAAAAGACCTCTTTAAAGTGTTAAAAAGCAAAGATGTTTCTTCGGGGACTGAGGTATGCCTAACCGAAGCCATGGTATTTTCAGTCATCTCAAATGCATGTGAAGGTTGGACAATGAATAAGGAAGACTGAAGAAGAGTTGACGCCTTTGAATTGCAGTGTTGGTGGAGAATATTGAATATACCATGGACTGCCGGAAGAATGAACACATTTGTCTTGGAAGAAGTATAGCCAGAATGCTCCTTAGAAGCAAGAATGGCAAACCTTCATCTTACGTACTTTGGACATGTTATCATGAGGGACATGGAGAAGGACGTCGTGCTTGGTAAAGTGGAGGGTCAGCGAAAAAAGGAGGACCCTCGGTGAGATAGATTGACACAGTGACTGCAACAGTGGGCTCAAGCATAACAATTGTGAGGATGGCACGGGACTTTGTCTCGTTCTGTTGTACATAGGGTCTCTATAAGTCAGAACTGACTCAACGGCACTTAACGACAAAGAATAGCAGCTTACTAGCTACACTTAACCTCTCTAAGACTCATCTGTAGGGTGGGGTAATAATATGGTTGTTATGAGGATTAAATGATTTAAGGAGTAGTCTGATACATTGTAAGTGCCCAGTAAATAGTAGCTGTTGTTTTTCTTCTCCTTTTCTGCCCCCCCTCACCTCCTCTTTCTCTAACTCCTCCTCTTCCATTGTTATTATTTAACTAATGTATTATTTATAGTAGCTATGGTCATAATGCTTTCATGAGGGAGGAAAAATATAATAGGAAAGTCAATGAACTAATTTTTCAGCTTCATAATGTTGATCAGGTAAAATAGTCAACAGATCTGTTGTATGGGCTGTTAGAAACAATTGTTCTGTACTCCAGAGCCCAGTATTCATCTCTCTGGTACCAAAATCAGAAAATGACTAAGTGAAATATTTGATCTCTGTTATCTTTGTGTTTCTAAAACATAGAATACAGAATAAGGAACTTTGTTTACTGGTAGAAACTGAAATGGGGCAACCCTGTCTGGAGGGTTTATTAAAATTATCAAGGCCCCCACCCCAGCCTTTTCTGAACAAGAAACTGAATACAGACTAAATATGTTTCTGTTTCAGAGACTAATGATGTCTGGGTATTGTGGGTGACAGCTTTGGTGAATGACAGCTTTGGAACAGCCATTTTGGAGGGGAGATGAGGCAGGGAGGGTTCTTCCTGAGTACTTTTTCTTTCCTTTGTCAAAGTGTAAAATAACAAGAACTCTGTAAGCAGAGAAATTATAGTTTTATTGAGGATTTGTTACAGCTGAATCTGGGGCGGCACTTGGTAAATTATAAACATAAATGTAAAATACCAAGTGTTCTGAAGTCTGAAAGGGAAGAGGGATTTTTATGCAGGAGGGCTGGGGATTATACATGAATGAAAAGTAAACCTTTCACAATATTGTTTAACCTATTTTCTATCAGGTTTTCGGGGGGAGGGGGTAAACTGTGTAATCAATTTTCTGAGAACAATCTTATATAAACATTTCGGGGAACAGTCTCATTCCCTTCCTGGAATATTCTTATCATTTGCTTAACCATAAACTATAACTTTGTCTACAAGCATTCTTTCTGAGAACAGAACGTTTTTATCATAGTCTTAAGTAAGCATAGCCACATTATGTTCACTCAAGTTGAACATATTCTGTGCACATATT